CGCCACTGCAGCTGGTGCTGCTCTTCTCAGATTCTGCTGAGTTACACGTTACTGCCTCCAGTGCCCTGTACGACGAAGCCAGTTCAACAGACCCTGGACCTGGATATGTTCGATTTACCCGGCTTAACTGACCCTAACAAACGCGATGTCGATAAGCGGTCCTACGAAGCTGGTTATCAACTCAGTAAATCAACCAGGGTTTCTCTGTCCGGCTGAGAGCGCGTTCACGTGAAAGGGACGGGGTTAGCAACATTTGACCAATCACAAACATGGAGACGCGTGCTGACAGCGCAGCGTCATACTTCATAAATGAATAGTGTAAATAGCCAATCCTGCTTCGTAGTACAGGGCCAGGCCACTGGTGCCGCAGAGATGTCATAAAGTGAAGGAGGTTTTCCTTCTATAAAACAGCTGTGGGCAGCAGATACTGTGAGTCACGGACAGGAATCCCTCAATTTAAATAAAACGAGGCCACGCTTTATTAACTCGTGCGCACGAGTTACTAAAGCGTGCGCACGAGAAAGTAAAAGGTGGCCACGTTTTATTTATTTTTCTCTCTATGAACCCTCCAGGGCTCCGTCATTTACCTATTGTTTTAAGGATATCGTTTTTAAAAATACAACTATTTGGGAGAGTAGATGGCAATATGGGTACCATTCTTGTATCAGTGCAGCAAGTAGAGTTAGCTTATCTTAGCATAAAGACTTTAAATAAAGGGAAACAGCTAACCTAGCTTTGCAGCTTCGAGGGAAGACAAATGTTCTGGTAATCTTCTTCTCACACACAGGAAGATAACCATTGTGTGTACCCCAATATAACATAACCAGTGTCGTAGCTGTGGGTGGGCTTCATAGCGCAGAGCCGGGAAGCCCAGAAGGAAGTGCCACTAAACTGCAGTTCATCTAGTGGCCGCCGGATGGATGCAAAAAGGAGCAATTCCCATAGACCCCCATGTTAAAATGCCCAACTTTACAGCAGAAATAAACATGTTTCTAGCCTGGATCCAATAAAACTTATTCTGGATATAGTTAGATTCCACCTTCATGACAATGGAATAGGGAGTGCATTTTTTTACCGTGAGTTTTTATAGTAAGTAAAGTAACTTTTGCCGTGAGTGAATGAGCGAGGGGGCGGGGCAGTTTATACACACGCAGCTGCTACATGCAGCAACACACACACACACACACACACACACACACACACACACACACACACACACACACACACACACACACACACACACACACACACACACACACACACACACACACACGGAGGAGATGGCGGAGAGAACGCGCTCCGAGGTGTGGTTAAACTATAGCCGTGTCGATGTGGACAATACTCGTTACCAAAAGTGGAATAAGCGTTTAGCGTGTAAGGGCGGTAACACGAGCAATTTGTTTGAACATTTAGCAAAAGTGCTCCACATTCAGACGGAGAAATGCACCGGGTTCGACTGTCTTTCTAGCAGCTCTGTAGCCCCATCCACGAGTAACGTTTCCACGTCAGGTACGTTATGTATGCTAGCAGCAAAACACGGAGTTAACTACATTATACAAACATGGGTTAATGATTAGAGGAAACTGAGTTATTTAGTCTGTTAAAGTTTCAGCTATTCTGTTTACAATTCTGTCATCACATTATTTAATACGATTTGTTAAAACATTGTTGTTTCTTTTGATGTGAAATATTATGTATTTCATTGAAATAAAAAGCAATGTTAGTTTTGTTCACAATTTGTTTAATTAGTTTACTTTATTTTTTTCTCCAAAAGAACCGATAAAAGTAATGTTAAAGGACCGGATCGATAAGACATAGACATACTTTATTGTCATTTCAACAAGACACAGAGTGTACTATTAAAACGAAATTTCGTTGTACTGGCTTACAGGAACAGGACAATATAAAAACTTGCTAAAATTGTACATATACATAAATAATAGTGACGTGGTGCTGATAAAATTAAAGATAAAGTGTGCGTTTAAAATATAAAGACTTACTATACATGTAAATAAAATAGACATACTATATAAAAAATATGTGCTCTTTACACAGCGTAATGTAATCTCTGTGTTACTGGTCTACTTGCTGTTCAGCAGTCTGATGGCTTGGGGGGAAAAGCTATTGCAGAATCTGGCTGTTCTGCTCTTAATGCTGCGGAACCTCTTCCCGGAGTGCAACAGGAAGAACAGAGCATGGTGAGGATGAGTGGGGTCTTTAAACATGTTCTGGGCTTTTGTCAGGCAGCGTTTCTGAGCGGTGTCTCTGATGGGAGGGAGATAAACTCCGATGATCTTCTCTGCTGTCCTAACCACTCTCTGCAGAGACTTCCAGTCTTTGGCGTTGCAGTCTCTCGACCAGATGGAGATGCCGCTGGTCAGCACGCTCTCTATGGTTCCTCTGTAGAACGTGGTGAGGATGGGAGGGGGGAGCTGGGCTCTTCTCAACCTGCGCAGGAAGTGTAGGTGCTGCTGTGCCTTCTTAAATAGTGATGTAGTGTGAGTGGACCAGGTCAGACTGCTCGTGATATGCACCCCCAGGAACTTGGTGCTGTCTGTAGTCTTCACTGTTGTGCCGTTGATGTGGAGTGGTGGGTGACAGTGCTTTTTGTTCCTGAAGTCGACAATGATCTCTTTTGTTTTATCGACATTCAGGATCAGGTTGTTGGTGTTACACCAGTCTGTCAGATGTTTCACCTCCTCCCTGTAGGCCTGTTCGTTGTTGTCCCTGATGAGTCCCACCACTGTTGTATGGTCCGCGTACTTTATGATGTGGTTGGTACTGAACCTGGAGCATAAGCATAAGCGCTATCGATAAAAGTAGTAGTACCGTTGTGTACCCTATGTGGATGTCAGTTTTACACACATTCTGAGGCCGCCGTGCCTATGTTTTTTGTTTTCACTGCTAATTTATGCTTATGTTCTATTAGTGCAATAACAAATCATTAAAATCATTAATGAAGTTTCAGCTCAGACCCCACGCTTAATATGTCTCCCCCTGGCCCACCTACATTTCTCCAGGCCCACCCACACAATAATTCCTGGCTACGCCACTGAACATAACAGAGAGATTTAGGATGTTTTTTTCCCTTTATATTTAAAATGTGCACGATTACCATATATATTCCTATTTGGCAGCTGCTGAGTCATGCACAGCGTAATTGCAGTAGGGAGCAAACCAAGCAAATGATGCACATCATATCTTAGATATATTTGAATGATCAACTCCACATGAAAAAAGCAGGGAAAAGATGACTGACATATTTTGCCTGCTTTTTCCCCTCTTTGGTCTATTATCTCAGATAATAACAGCCTTGTCAGCAACAGAGCAGAAAGTTACACTCCTCAAATCGAGCACCCTGGGACCAAGCTGCACTCGAGTGTCTCCGAGGTGCCACATGATGAAACTCAGGTAAGCGTAAAAAAGCAAGGTGAGCAAATGAAGCATGGATCATAAGGGCATTGACCATCAGTGGAGGGGCGTCTGGTTGGTATAGTAATTAACCCTGCGGAGGGGTTGGCCTGGAAACTGCTGGCTCCACATGCCCCTGTCCACCCCCATCCCTCAGACCTTTGGAGTATCCACAGATGAGGGGGCGTCAAACCCTCCCTGGTGGTCACACTTATTAGAGCCGCTGAGCACTGCTGTGACCCACTCCTCTCTCTCACTCTGCAGGGTGAGATAGCTGGGGGGGCGAGGGATCAGAACAAAGCCACTTCATACTGTGATATCATAAGATTAGTGGTTTTATGCTGACAACCCATCTACAAAGCTACAGGAATCACACGCAAATGATTTCTCCATGATCACTATTTGAAGAACAGATACAGAGAGGAGAACACACACCTAACAGCAACCAATCAAAGCACTTCAAAATGCACATTCTGGCGGGAAAAGCCCTGAAAGGGAAGAGAGAAAGAGTAGTGATCCATTGATTAGGTCTGATGTAAAACTGTGTTAATGACTTAAATGGGCCAGTAATATTGAGGTGCAAAATTAAATGTCAGTAATGACATCATTGCATGTTTATTCGTATATATTAAGAATACACTTTAGTTCAATTTACAGCAGTGAGATTATGACCATGCCGGCCATAGTTACAGAAGGGGTTCCAAATCTGGCAGAAATAATGCCAGCTCTGCCAGATTTAGAAACATCACTTTAATTTAATTGTTCACATTATACTGTGGATCATTCTTCATCAGATAGATCTTCCCTACATCAGAGAAACGATCTTTGGCTTTCATATGGATGCCAAAATAAAAATAAACGGTTAATGACTTTAAAAGAAACCCAATACAACCTGGTATCATCTTGCAATTCCATTATTTTAGACTCCATCTGGTTTTATAAACTTAAACTCCTCAGAATAAAAACGCTTGCTGCTTTGTGCCAAATCAGCTGCCTGGCACTGTGCCGACGCTGTACACAGCATGGCTCCAAAACTCAAATTATTTTCCTCGCCTCTACTTTGTGTCAGAGATTAAAAATAGCAAGTGGCCTTCTGCAGAATAAGCAGTTCATGGATTCTGGCTTAGACACAGTTTTCCTGGAGAGGCCAGCTGTCACCTGCGTGCCTCTCTACACACTGGGCATTATATTGGCTTCTAATCAAAATGGGCATTCATCCTTTTTACAGTTACTGTATGGCAACATTTCCTAACTTTGTTTTTTAAGTCATACAATTGGACTGAGATGCTTCCCCTGCGCTAGGTGGCATATTTATTTACATTGAGCTGCAATAAAACCTTCTCTGGACACAAAAAAGTTGAATTCAGGGAAAAACCCAAAATGAAAATAATACCAAAAATCAATGTTAATGACATTTCAAATCAGATTTCAACATATCTATTGTAACTGTAGCTATATGATGTCAGAACAATTCCCTCTCCAAGCTGCAAAGAAGAGAATCAAGCTAAGCCGCACTAATCTGCAAAACAATCAAAAGACGGAGACTGCTGCATTCAGAATTAATGAGACCAACCTTGTGAACATATAGAAATGAGAGAGAGAAGAGATTTGCTGCAGATATGGGCTCATTTTCTGGTGCAGAAAATTGATATCAAACAAACCTCATCAGTGTGTGAAAGCTCAAACAAATATAAGTTCACAAAGTCAACCACAAGTTTAGATCAGAGGAAGTTCCTGTCTGCGTGGAAAAAAATATAAATCAAAAACGCTCAATGTCAAAGTGTTTTTGTTTTGTATGTGCATGAGTCAGAAAATACCAACTTCATATTGCAGGTTTATGCAGTTTATATGAATAAATACCAGTGTTTCCCACATATAAGGCACATGTAGTCTCATCCAAATACCTACATCTAAATAAATACAAATAAATAAAAATAAAAACTCACTGATTCACCCGTACAGATGGATAGACATCAATAGAATCTGTAATATTAGAGTTATTCATTTACACATAATGTACAAAGCACATTCTTCTCAATTTTCGGCAAGTCAATTAAGACCCCCTATGAGATTAAAAGCTCTCAGTTAGTGGCATCCCTTAGGAGGAAGAAGAAAGCAAACATTTGGGATTATCGAATCGCAGGGGGAGGACGGAGGGAGGCTGCCATATTTGTTATTCTCGTAACTCTTCCTGTAGGGCATGAAGTTTGCAACTCCATTCATTTTAAGATTGTCTGTTCATGTCTGTGTACAAAATGAACCTCCGGCTGAAAAAGTGTTTTCTCTCCGTTTTATTGACTAAAACAGAGCGGCTAGGTGGAGCAGGGAGCTAATGAGCGCTGGCCACGCTGAGTGAACTCAGGATGATTCATGCCATCAAACCTTGGCTAAGCCCCTCCCTAAAAACAGCTACTGTCCAAATACGTTAGCTAACCGAAGTCAAATATCTTAGAGGCAAAACTACTACTTCCTGTTACTACTTTCTATGTCTTAGCAGTTTTTAGACTGTAAAAGATTGATTTTAGACATTGTATTACCAATGAATGCCTTACTTTTAGATTCAATAATTCAATGCCTTTTAAGAATGTTTAAGTATCCACAAGAACCCTGGCTTTAAACAAAGGTTAAAGGGGGGTAATTGACTTGTATGGTATAGGCGTCTTTGAGCACCAGGAAAAGCGCTATATAAATACCATGTATTATTATTATAATTACATAATGAAAGCTGTAGGGAGCCTAAAATAAATCACTACATTGAATTACCCTGCTGCGCAATAACATTCATGTCTCTGTTTACCCTTAACATAAGTTATTCAAATGTAAAGTGCCACTTGCTTTTGGACCGGTAAGCTTTTCCCTTGATTTGAATATCCTTTCATTCTCAAATTATATTGAGAGTTAACTTTCAATGCATAGTGTACTTATGTTTGTCTACTTCTCTCTGATATTTCAGAACTAGTTTTTCAGGAATCCTTTGGAGTACCTCCTACACATATCGTTGAAACGTCATACTGACAAGCCGTTCAGCTTCACAAGGCTTTGCCAATTATCAATAAGAATGAGAAGAGTTTGAGTAAGTCTTTAAGCGAGGGGAGATCATGCCAAGTTTTCAGATCGACAGGCGTCCCTGCGCAGATCCAAAACGTCCCACTCCCCTGTGCTGGACCGGCTCTCTGGGGTTGAGGCTTCTACATGTTCAGGTTCATGATCTGACCCATCGTCCTGGGACTCTCCGGGCTGATGCCGACCCGCCTCTGAAAGATCCGCAGACGCTTGTTTGATTGGAAGCCAGGGAAGGTGTGAGTCAGTGGCTGTGACACCTAGCGCCAGAGCGGCCTCCTCTCCTTCCTCCACCGTGGAGCCCAGCTCTTCATCCTCCACCCCCTCCACCTCATGCCCCGCCTCCTCCACCGGACTGCGCCCCTCCCCCAGCTCCAAGGGGGCTCCGTCTTCCGTCAAGATTTCTCCGTCTCTCCTGTCAATTCCATTCGTCTCCAACCCCGGGAGAGGCTGCAGGATTTGGAGCAGTGCAGGTGTGCCATCTGTGCCGAGGTCGCTGCCAGCGGAGTGGCATTCCCACGATGATCCATCTGACACGAGGGGGAGAGGAGACAACTGGTCGTTTTAATTACTCACTTGATCTTAGGCCACAGTTTTATCTGAAAACAGATACTTCTTTCTGTTCCTTCCTGCATACACAGTAAAAGGAAATAAGTCCTGAGGAGAAGCACATACAGAACTAGTCCAAAAACTGAGATGGTGAGCAGGTTTAAAGTGTTTTATTGTCCGGAAATGAGAAAAATATACTGAACATTTTGAAAGACGTGCTCACATGATGTGCATTAATGAAGTCATAGTGTTTATTTACTTAACGTAATGCCTTGCCATTGTTTGACTCTACCAAAAAGTCCTGTTGCAGTTTAATTTCATGTATTTCCAAAAAAAACATGTTTTGTGACTTGTCCCTTGTCCACTCAAATCTAACAGGTTCATCCTTGAGTCCAAATGTACATTTGTGCCATATTTTAAGACATTCCCTCCAGTGGTTTCTAAAATATTGCGTTCCTCAAGAATCGGAACACAACCACAAAGCATAACGCCCTGAGGCCTAAAAACACTTTCAAAAGAAAGCTAAAGGAAAAGTTTCCTTTTTTTGGACAACCGTGTCAATGTAGAACGTTTCAATTACTTATGTGACTGAAGTGCTTCCATGGCAACAAGCTAAATATAGCAGCAGTGCCCCAGACAAGAGGACGCAAGACAAGTGTGACGCCGCATCTGGGCAACAGCAACAGCTTAGTTCTGCCTCTTCGCCAAAATATGCTCTCACTTTGGGGATTACTGACCCATATTTGTGGAAGTGCAGGCAAAAAGGTTAAAGACTGCACATAGAGTCCCAGCCACCTTTTCCCCCACACACACAAACACACATTCACACAAAAACGTGCAGGAAGAAAGCAACATTACTTGAACTGGCATCCATATTTATGGCCCCCCCCGTCCCCCATCTCCTTTCAAAGAGAACACGGCAGAAGTTTCTGAATGTCAGCGGGCGAGAATTTGCTTCACATTTCCAAAATGCCATGGCATTTGGGCAGCTTGCACCAATGAGGAGTGGAGGCGGGAAGGGAAAGCACTTGGGTTAACCGTGGGAGATAGCGAGGAGTGTTTAGCACGCGGCGGCTAATTACAGTGCTTATGCGGTTAGCTGCAGGTTTTATTGTTAATGGCTTGGGGAACCAGTCACACACAATCACACACTCACCTTTGGGTGGCTGCAGGTGTGGGGAAGGCGTGGCTTGTGTTGGGTGAAGCTCCGGTTGAAGATTTTCATTCATTGTGTTGTTGTCTCGTGTTCCTGTAACACCACAATCACACAAACTGTTACTTTTGCATTCAAAAACAAAAAGACAAAGTTAGTGGTATGAAGAGTTTTTGGTGGATTGGATGGAGCACATGTATGGCACTTTGAGTACACACACACACACACACACACACACACACACACACACACACACACACACACACACACACACACACACACACACACACACACGTATGCATTACAGAGGCTTCAGTTCCCTGTCATCTGTCTTCATTAGTGATGGCTGCACGCCTCTGAGGCTGACACCATATGCTACTGATAGGAGCACTATAAACCAGACATCACAAACAAACACACACAAACAGACCTGTACTTACACACACACACACACACACACACACACACACACACACACACACACACACACACACACACACACACACACACACACACACACACACACACACACACACACACACACACCACACACACACACACACACACACACACACACACACACACACACACCCTGTAATCAGCTTTTGCCTTCACACAAACTGTGAATAGGCCTGTTTCTCTGACCATTCATGTGTGAAGCGCACAAACAAACAGAAGAATGGGAAAATGGATGACTGGGTGACACGATGCGTGAGAATCATCAATGGTGAACGGAGACCATATTGTTATGAATGCAGTCCATATTGTTATGCTGATACTGACGTGGCAACAGTGAGTGATAACGCATTGAGCAGCTGAGAGCGTCTTAAAAGTTTATTCTTTTATTGTGTGAGATTCTTTTAATTGAAATGTCTCAACAACTATTGGACATTTGGTACACACACTGATGCACCTCCAGGATTAATTAGGATACGTTTGTGGAATTTGTCTAGTTTACCTGCAAAATGTATGATGCATGTAGGAAGCCGTAAATGTTCTTTATTGCTTCTTTATTTAACAAAAATATAACAACCAATAAATAACTTTTTTATTTCCAAATTATATTTGTAGTAGTGAACGTACATTTCTTCAGCACTCTCTTTTTTCAATGCTTTTTGGCTGTTAAATGAAAATTAAATAATAATTTGGTAATTTGACTTAAAGATGCCTCATTAAAGTCACAATACATTGTTTTATTTGCACATATATTTGTGCAACGCACCCATTTGAGATTTTATTTTCAAGACTATCCCTGCTTTATGGTTAGAAATTATTCAAATTGAACTTAAACTCATCATGCAAATGCAACAAGCTCTTCTGCACTATACAATATTTCAAAAAATATGAGATCATACACTCTGCATCCTGAATAATATGAGAAATAAGAGACGTGTGTCAAATAGGAACCCTACAGTGTTGCGTAGCTCTGGATTGACAAGGACAATTCTTCTTAACAGGAAAAAATCTGTCTCTGGATCCCGAAAAGATCCCAAAAATGTTGTCTCCACCTGTGTCTTTGCAACAGCTGAGCCACTCCGACAGGCTTTCACTTGCTGTGTTACATTTCAGCTCACACTCACTGGTGGCGATCAATCAATCACATCTTTATCTGACTCACTGCATCCATGTCACTCTTATTGTTTTTGTCTCTCTCTCATCCGGAGACAGCGTAGTCACCTCGAGAGTTCTCCGGGCCTCCGATAGGCAGCCAAGGCCCCCCCCGTCCTATCCTGTTTGCCTCTAATATCCATCAGCCCAACTTCATATCACATCAAGGCCACAGACGCACACATCTCGCTCTATATTCCTGTCTCCCTAACTGTGGTGGACAGCGTGCTCGTCAGGCACTCTGGGCCCTCGCCTACAAATTCCCTAATAACGGCACATTCCCCTAAATGTGTTTGTAATGTGGGCAATCATTTTCAGTAATGGATGCTTGTCAGTTTTATGGCGGTGAGAATGACGGTCTCGTGACAGGGCACCTCCATCCAGCCGCAGCCCCTCCACCCTTCAGGCTGACAAATACGCGGCACAACAGCTCTCTCTAGTGGGGAAACACGGAACATATTTATAGTTTAGGTGAAATTCTTTAGTACATGTTATTTGGGACGAACACTTTTGATGCCTACATTTGGGAGAGTACATTGTTGTTCGGTTTTGCTACTTTGAGGATGAGGTTTATTTTGAAGAAGGGAAACAGCCATCTTTGCAACACGTACAAATATTAATTTCTAGGCCTCATGCATGGATGCAGGTGTTGTTTATGTTATTGGGTTTTTGAATGCAAGCTGCATTTAAAATGTTGTTTTGTACATCCACTGTCTCACATAATGACAGATTTACACAAACAATCTCTGCATTTTTACGAGCTTATTTTACCTTATTTTCTATCACCATATTTGTTTTTGTTAATCAAATCATGTTCTCTTTTATCTGACGCTGCATTACGTATCACTCTACACGAATGTGATTTATGATGTGAGAATCTGAGCGCATTTTAAAACGACCCCAGAAAACATTAGCGTGCTGAGGCTTCTCTCATGCCCTTAAAACACTCCCAACTCTAACATTAATATATCATCTTTCTTTCCCTGAGTGTTTGAGACGGGTCCACTGGACCGAGAGGATCAGTGTGTGATATTCAGGCAGCCGCTCCAGTCAATGGTATCATGAGCAGACAGATGAGCGGGTGGTCAACACACACAGTAAACGGTGGGCACGAGGTGACACACTTTCTGGGCATCTGCCCAGATTTGTCCTGGCATGACAGAGTGGAGGGCATGGGCGGGCTAAGTGGGGCAGAAGGAATACATACTCCCAATTCCCACAGATACGCGGTAGGTCAAGCCTGGGACGCAGCCGGAGAGGAGAGAGAGAAACACCGTTATGAACAAAAAACCTCAATAATGTATTTAGAATTTTAAAACAGAGAAAAGTAGAGTTTTTTGGTAGACAGTTCACCCACAAAACAACAATAAATACATGTTTATCTTCTGACCTAAAGTGATTTTTATCAATATAGATCATATTGGTTATTTATTTTTGATTGAGGGGTGAAATGTCACTTTAAGCCAGTTGGCCTTTTACTAAAAACATCAAGTATAAAATAGAGCAATGTATGAAAGGATTCAGTTTATGAAAACAATTACCTTGCACATTTCTTCAGCACTGGTAGATAACAGTTATCCATTTTCTTTTTCACATTATCTTTATGTCAACACGCTCACACGCACCTGTGGTCACATGGTCGTGTTTGTTAATGGTGTGGTGTAGCTACAGGTGGATTAAGTATTCAGGGGAAGATGCCTTACTTCAGAGTGAGGTACAGTAACTGCTTTACAGCCAGTAATGATGACATTCAAATATTAAAATCAATGTTTTCTGCCTGGATTACTCAGAAACATTCAATATAATTGGAAAATATTTGTTTTACACTTAGACCAAAAACATTTATATGCATGGCAAATAACTGCACCCTTGAAATGATGTTTAACAAGAGAGTTCTGTTAGAATATTTATTATAAATGACTGTTACTCTGTTGTTTAAGAACTGTATGTGAGATTAAAATATGGAAGGGACTTTGTGAAGGATAGTGCATATGGTGCATGTTTAAAACATTTTTTTCTTTGTGTGGAAGCGTTTGGACGTTGGACCCACCTGGGAGACTCCACAGTCCTGACACCTCTAACGTCTTCAGCTTCCTCTCCAGATCTCCGACTCTGTTTCCCAGGATCCTGCAGGCAAGGTACGATGGGTCGGGTTACTGGGGGGGCCTGATAAACAGTGTGTGTGTGTGTGTATGTGTGTGTCACAGTTCGGTGTTTGCCTTGGAGGTGGAGGAGAATCCTCAAACAGGTATGCAAACATTATAAAGCCGCTTACATCTGGCTTTAGTGGGAAAGGTTACAATCGGCATTCATTCCCGGGACAAATGAGAGAAAAAGTCACTGTGTTTATCAGTGGGGATGGACACATGACATCCGAGGGGACATTATCATTATTGCCTCTTTTGCTGTTGATGTCATGAAACACATTTAAGTGAATAGTAAATATAATCAACATGGATTACAATTGATCAACATAGAAGAAAATACAACTAATTTGCTTTCCACAAAGCAACCGGACTCCATTGACATGAAAAGCATGTTTGTATCTTTCCACTTTTTAAAAGAGAGACTGAATAAAGAACATATAGATAAGAAGTAACCATTGAGCTGCTTTTCACTGTTTACTATGCTGCTAGGCCTACTCGTCTACTGGCAGTGGGAGAGGAGTTAGTGTCTATTTTAAAGGGTTTCACCAGCAAATATGCTGATGATGATGATGCTCATTTTGGGGGAAAAGTTTATGAGGTTAAATGAAAAAGTCCTTAAAGTCAACAGAGGGGCCGGTAAGGTTCCTGTGATCATTTAAAGTAGTATTTTAGTACCTGTTGGTGTGCCTCTGGTGCTGGATGACCAGGTTCTTCTCGTGGATGGTCTCCAACAGAGCCGTGGCCAGAGACTTGAGGTCGGAGATGGACTGAGGCGTGGCTGGCAGGCTGCAGCCCGGCTCCTCCAGGAACAGCTCCTGGACTGTGAAGGAGAGGGAACATTGAAGGTGGAACAAGTAGAAACAGAAAGACAGGTAGGAAGGGAAAGAAGGAGAGGATAAAAAACAGAGACAGCTAATTTTATTCGAAGTAAGGAATGCACAATTAATCTAAAATGTATCAAAATCTCAATATGGACTAGTGCAATATTCAAATCATAGTAGGCAAATGATTTGTTTAAGGCAATACATGTGTTAAAATACAGTTATTATAAAAAAATGTTATTCACTATAATCGTTTTATATATTTATTAATGATATATATATATATATCCTTTATTTAACCAGGTAAAAGTCTCATTGAGATTAAAATCTCTTTTTCAAGAGCGACCTGGCCAAGAGGGCAGCATGAACAAAGTTACAACAAATGAACACAAAACAATACAGACAGACGAATACAGCGGTCGTAAAACACCTCAATGATAATGAGAAATATGATCAAATCGGTCGCATTTTGTGAAATTGTCATTTCTCAACTTCGTGCAGGCCTAGTTAGAAGATGTGCAAAGGACAAAATAATCAAAAACATGTGGGACCACCTGCCCCTACATAATGCACCAATACAACTTTAACTTAAAGTAAAAGATCCCTCTAAAAAGTAGGGTGATTTGACATGAATTTGGGAACACAGCATGACAAGAGAGACAGAGATGGAGAGTTGGAAGCAGCTGCCTACTGGAGACACTCCTAACTTTAACTCCGGAGCCCACTGTGCTGCTGCTGCCAGCTCCTGTCAGTCATCCTGGCATGCTCATTCCCTGCTCTCTGCCACTCCCGATACAATTAGTAACACAGCTGGAGTCCTGGCCGAGGCTCCAAGCACCGGCAAAGAAGAAGTTATTAAATAATGCACGGCTAGAAACAAAGGTTTTTTAACCGATTTGTTACACTGAAGAGAGAATCAGGGTAGCACTTTCTTTGTCTACCATGTCTAAAATGCATTGTAAATATATTGCACAGCTCTCCACTTGACGTCCGATTACTGTCATATTTACTCCATTTAGTTTTATTTATAGTAGAATATTTTTATATTTTGAAAGTTATAATAGTTGTTATAATAGTTCAATTTGGTCCATTTTGGTTCAATGTATTCACTTACTGTGTTTGTGTATGGTAAAGCAAAATCCTTGTACGTGTAAACCTACTAGGCAATATTTGTATTTTCATCATCATTATGTCCTCATCTATTTATCAGTGTGTACCTTGTTTTGCCGAGAGGACTCCAGTTAGCGGACTGCTGCTGTTTGACTTTCCGTACGTGCTGGAGTTCTTCCTCCTCTCAAGAGCTGTCTGTTGCAGGGTGGGAAAGATAAGATAATATACAAAGTACTTTTTTGATCCCAATTTGGGAAATGTTTGAAAGAAAAAGAGAACGAATAAAGGAGGAATAAAGCTTGCAGTGCCACCGTTTAAGAATACACATTCTCGTGAAGTCAAATGAATCGTCAGAGGCCCTCCATCTGTACCTTGTATTTCATGCTGTTGGATTTCAGCAGGTTCACATCCTCTTGCAGTTGGCTCAACCGCTCCTGCAAATACCTGCATCAGCAACGAGAATCATGTTAAAAATCTGTTCGGTTGCCGCTATCATTTTCATGATCTTATGAAGGTTTGGTGAAAATGTGGCTAAAAACTGGATAAAAAGTAAATATATGACAATTCTCTCACAGTAGACCAGAGGAAACGCTGCGTTAGCTTAATTAAAATTACACATTTCTCTGAAACATTTGAAATAAAAAACACGTTTAAAGATGTGGTTATATCTTTAACTTCACTTTTCAGCTTTTACAAAATAAAAAGAGATATTCTTCTCTTTATTTCCAAAACAGAATAATTCTGATGTGTTTACACCCAGTAAAGCAAACGAAAGAGGGTAAATACGGAGACATGTCTACACAGGAAGCAGTTACTTAGAGTGAAAGCAAGTGTCGGAGAATCTGCAGCTTGTAGAAAACACATGGCCTCTCTAGAACTGGAGATATGGGAAAGTAGTTCCCAAAGATCTTTTGTCCCACTCACCTGTTCTCCATGCAGAGGGCATCCACATCAATGATGCGTGCCTCACGGTTGCCCAGGACGTGGTTGAGCTCCACGTTCAGGCGGTAGGTCTTCTCCCTGAACACGCCGCGCTCCGCCTTCACGTCCTGCAGCTCGTCGGTCAGAGCCTTCATGTTGTGCTCCATCTCATCCATCTAGACAAAGACAACCAGAAAGACGTTAGAGTTTGCTGAGCGGGCATAGGAAGTTGTTCGCAGTGTAGGAGCTCCCACCTGTAAAACCTTGGATACTGTATTCAGCTGAGTGAGAGGCTCTACTGGAGCACATACAGGTGAATTGCTTTTAAGAACACCTCAAAAGCAGGTTTTAAGGAGGGAACAGAATCTTTTCATCAACCTAATAAAATCCAATTCAACCCCACCAAATTATAAGCCTCCTAAAAGGCTGTATTTACTACACTGTGTGGATGTATCGTAAGGGAGTAATGGCAGTAATGGGGTGAGAGTCAGGCATGTACAACAGCTTATCATGTTAATTGTTGGTAAAAAAAAAATCAAACAATTACAGACAGAGCCTTGATAGCAGGGGCGGTTCTAGGGGAGGCCAACAGGGGCCAGTGCCCTGTAACACTGACCAGGGACCCCCCTGTGGCCCCCCTCCAAAAAAAAGGTAACAATATCAAGATCTATTGGAACTAAATCAAATCAGAGACCTGGATGTCCAGTGGAGATTAAACTGTTCATTACCTTATTTAAAGCAAATACTGTTTATGTGTTTTAATTAAATTGTCACTTAAAGTTACTAAAACAAATACTCTAAATTAAAAAAACTACTCAAACAAAGGACTGTAACTTAAATGTACTAAAACAAATACCTTTTCAAAAACAAATACCAATTACTGTATTTTATGTTTATAAAGTAAAATTGGATTAGAACCACCACTGCTTGATAGGGGTGCATATTCCTAGAAAACTCCATTATTAAAGTAATATTTATTACTAGAGTCTTGATGCGAGACCATCTAAAATAAGACGCTTTTCTGGGTTCAGTATGTTGATTTTTTTGTGTAGAAAGTAAGAACATTCATCAACCTGGAGCCCTGCTCTCTCCAGCTGGTGAACAAGGTCCTCACGTTCATGGGGGGGGAAATGTCGCGGCCCCACCTCCTCATCGCCTAGCCTCTGTCGAGTTATGGTCAGCCTTAGCAGCTGTGGAGAAACAAGTTAAATTCACTGCTTCCCTCAAGCACATCTACTCATGCACTGGATGTGTGTGTGTGTGTGTGTGTGTGTGTGTGTGTGTGTGTGTGTGTGTGTGTGTGTGTGTGTGTGTGTGTGTGTGTGTGTGTGTGTGTGTGTGTGTGTGTGTGTGTGTGTGTGTGTGTGTGTGTGTGTGTGTGTGTGTGTGTGTGTGTGTGTGTGTGTGTGTGTGTGTGTGTGTGTGTGTGTGTGTGTGTGTGTGTGTGTGTGTGTGTGTTTGGGGGGGATGCTGCTGCAGGTCACCTCACCTTGCTGTCCCCCTGGGCCTCCGTCAGCCTCTGCGTCAGCTCCTTCACCTCCTCCGTCAGCTTTTTGGCTCGTTCCCTGGAGTCTCTCAGCAGCTGAGCCAGGTTCACCTGAGGAGAAGGTGGAGGAGAATCGTGAAAACAGCTGGGGATTGGCCACGTGGATCGTCATGGAGATTAGGGCTGCAGGATTTAGAAATATTACTTATTGCGATTATTTGGCTGATATTGCAATAACAATATAATTCACGATATGAGAAGGTTTGATCATTATTCTCATTGAAAAATATATTCAAAATGGTAATCGTGTTAATTTTGTATTACATTGTATTAACTATTCTATACTTAATTTAGAATTATATTAACACTTATTTTGCGGCTGATTTCTAACCTATATTACACTTGTAGCTGTCTAAACTCTGATTATATATGAATAAATAACTGTTAACCAAGATGTCTAGATATTGGCCACATCACTTCTAGAAAGTACATTCTGTAAACAAGTGAAGATTAAGAAAACAAAGACAATATAACTGTTAATAATCACATTTCCAGTGTCAACCACAAGTAGAATATTTTCTTTCTTTCCATTATTTACTGTATATTTTAAATATATATACATATTAAAATAAGTATTATAATAACATTTATAAAATAAATCTAGATTATTAAAAAAGTATTATTTATTGCATTATTTTTCCTAAACATTTTCCTATGTTTGAAACCTTTGAGAGACTGAATCATAAAGGAGAACTAAGAACATATAAAGTCAGTGGATATTATTTTGACAATGAACATTTACAAACTAGCAAAACGTTAACAAAAATACAGTACTCATATAGCAGATATATAAGATATGCTTTAGTAAGAAATACTTTTGGCATAAATGGAGTCCTTGATTTTAACCACAACTTACTTGATTGCGTTTTTCTGGTGGCAAAGAAGGGTCACCGTCCTAAAATATGAAAAGAGTTTAGTATTTAAACTGGAAGTCCACACGGAGACAGGGAAAAATGTGTGTAGAGAAAATACTGAGGACAGATCAACACGAGCACTCACGATGAGCTCCCTGTACTTCTTCTTCAGTCCCTGGTGGCACTCCCTCAGCTGGTTGGCCATCAGCTGGTACTGATCCCTCTCCTGCTGACAGGTGTCCAGCTCCTTAGACAGGATGAGCAGAGCCTCCTTCTTACTCTCCAGCTTCCGCTTACACACCAGGAACTACAAACACCGCGCACACACACCATCACAGAGCACAGGTTAGGGACTGTGACTCTCCACATCATTGGTTTGATCACAGCTTTCGGGGCATTCTTGTGGCCGCTTTGCCCTTTAATTGCTGACACTGACACTTTTCGTGTTAATTCCAGGGGCCAAAGTATGAAGGTAGATATGGTGCAAAATGCGAGAGCGTGAAAACCTGATGTGAGCACTTGCAGAAAAAAAATCTTTGTTTGTGTGCATACATTTACACTTGTATAAAATATCCACGTAACTGTGAACCAAATGTACACTTGTATAAAATATCCACGTAACTGTGAACCAAATGTGAAGTCACAGAAGAAAAAAAAAGTTTTGTAGCTTGTATAAAAAAAATGAACTTAGTTATGAAATGTTCACTTGCAGAAAGATACATATTTTTTAAATATATTTTCCATTACAACTGCAACTTTATTTATTACAACCTCTCAAATCAGTCATTACAACTTGACGAATCTGCTCTGTGGCAGTATAAATCGACGAATCTGCGTTCTTGACTTTTGCTACACTTCTTGCCATAGATGTGTCGCAAAAGTAATTTTCACCTGTAGATGTGGGGGGAGGGAGGGGGGTTGGAGCGAAGGGGGTTGGAGCGAAGGGGCGGAGCTATCTACCTCATTCACACCAACGCAACTCCGGTTCAAGCTCCGTACTAGAGCTTTTCAGGTTCAGAACCAGTTCTTCGGTTTAGCTCTGGCTCTTTTCACACCGCCCAGAGTCCGACTGGTAATGCGTTGTTGCGTCATCGTTTGCGTCATGACGTAACCATTTGCGTGCCTGCTTCATAAAGCCAAACCGCGCGGATGAAATCAGTTGCATTCATTTCTTATGGCTCTATCTGCAGCTTTTCCGTTGTCATTTCTGTGGTTTAGTTATATTCTTATAAAAAAAGTGTACTCGTGTCAATAAAGGTTTTTTTAAAACACAACTGCTTCCAAGGTCGGTCTTTTTTCTTAAGCTGGACTGAACCATGAGTGTGGAATAACGTTGTATCTTTCATTTAAATGAACTGTAACCTTCACCCAGGTATGTAACAGCTGTTCTCAAATGAACACGTGAAGTAAAGTTTAATATTTATAGTTTTATAGATTTATAATGAGAGGTGATCAACGTGAATGCTCAGGTTCCACCTTAACACGCAGACACGTTGCTTCACCATGAGCAGAAACCTTTATATACAGTCTATGGCAGAAACACTGAAACTCTTAAGTTTCTCCATCGTTGTGTACAAACCATAGACTGTATATATAAAGGTACAAACTGGATAAAACGCGGGCTTTTTGTTGTTGTTCAGGAGTTGATCTGTCTCTGCCCCTGCCCATGCCCCCGCCTCGACGTAAGCGTGACGTATGTGGTGCTTTTGCTCTGGCCGGACAATTTTTTGGTGCTTGAAACGAACCGGATTCTGGAGCTAAGAGGCTGCTCCGCTGCGGTGTGAAGAGGAAAACCCGGTGCTTTTCAAGCTCCAGCTCCGAACCAGCCCTGAAACACCGTTGGTGTGAATGAGGTATAAGGACGAGGCTCGGGTGACTGGAGACTGCGGGGCTAACGGTTCGTGTCGCTACCAGTCCGCTGACATGGCGCATCAATCAACGGTACATTTTGCCCATTACTTGCCCAGTATTACTTTGAATATTATTATTGAGATTGAGGATTAAATCCGCTTTGAAGACCACCGTTTTATATCGTGCAGTTTAGCGGCAAAATAACGTCAGTCAGCCAGCTAACGCTAGCTTTGTTGAGTTTATGCTAGCTAAACAAGTAGTGGTTGTAGTCTACAGCAGTAATTAATATATTATAGCCTACTGCTTTGGCACTAACGGTTGATAACCGTTTATGAAAATAAAACCAATTGAACTGTACTGAAATAATGACAAGTTTTATAATTGTCTTGGGCTCCTGCTGTGTTTTTAAAGCCTTTGTAAATTATACATGCTATTTTCTATTTAGCTAACGTCGAAGTAGTGTATGTGAAATCAGCCTCACAATAAGATGTGTGTATATTACAATTATTAATGTCATATTTCAAGATGATTACTTAGATATTACAATATGGTTGGTTGAGCTGGAGTTCATTATTGAGCTTACACGTTAACATCACAGTCATCTGAAGAACGAACCCAAACCTTGTTGTTTTTATTAATTGTATTACCAAATTGATATCAAATAAACAGTAAGCATTGGTAACACAATTTCCAAAGTTACAGTAAAATAAAAAGGACCCTGACTCGGACAATACACAATCCAACAAGTTCAACAGAAGAGAATCAGTTATATTGTATGTACACATGGTTCTTTACACACACACACACACACATATATATACATATATATATATACATATATATACATATATACATATACATATATATATATGCTGATTTGGCAGACTGGGTTGAGATTACTCCTCTTCACACAAAGTCTCACAGCAGTGAACTTCAGCTCAGGTACAAAGACTCTTTTTTCATACTGTACAAAGAATCAAGAAAGATATTGGTTTAAATGAATGAAGTATTGACTTGAATACACTGATATACATTCCATTAAACAATACTAAATACTAGATCAACTACACATCAGTGAAGTTGAGGTTTTTTTCCATGCAAAAGGTTACATTTAAGATGTTAACAAGCAATATGACTTTGTCAGCTTTCTAATTTAATGTATTGAAGGCAAAGATATTTAACACATAGTGAGAACTGCTACTATTTATCTCTCAATATTGTCTGTAAAATACGTGGTCAAAGTTATTCTTTCAGTGAGACAACAGAGCAAGCTTCTACAGTTGCACTACGTTTTGATAACAGTTCAATATTATTTTGATAATAACATATATTTCAATGTTGATGAATTTCATACTGTTCATTCATAATCTGATTACAATTAAAAAATAATTATATCAACAGCCCCTAAACACAACTCTTTCATAAATAACACACTTGTTCTGCAATGTTTTATGTTTCCTGTAATTTTTGTTAGGGAAGGACATGCCTGAAAGACACGACATCTTCTCCTTCTCTGAGGGTCAAGAAGAACATCCAAGAGGAACATTAAAAGCTGATGTTATGTGATTTTAAGACCAGTACAGGACATTCACTAAGAAACTACTTTTATTGTGAAAAAAAAGTTCTGCACACCGAATATTTTTGTAGTCTATCAGGACCATCATTTGTTTGTGACGCTGCCTGCACCTCAGAGAAGGGGTGGTTATAGTCAGGCTTATAAAGTGTGGCGAAAAACATAGTCAGCTGATGGGATGCATCTATTTCCACATCTACACTCCATCAGCTGATTATTTATATTTGCCTCACTTTATGAGCTTCACATCACCTGTGCCTTGTACCGCAGAGTTTGCAACGTCACAAATAAATGGGGCCAATCTTCAGTCAGATGTGAATGTGTAATCTAACATTTTCAGTAAGAATAATGGACAAAAGGAGTGCAAATACAAATACAATTTATTGAAATGTGAACCAAAAGTTAATCAAATGTTTTAAATAAAAAGCACATATGGACAGAAGGTGTAAACCTATTAAATGTATAAGTAAACACATTTAGTCAAATAAAGTGACAGACTAGGCATGTGCAGTTGGTATCAGCTATGCCCAGCATGGGCTCCTTCATCAGCCCTGGTCCTCCTCGCAGAGGAAAGACCCTCAGTCCTCTCCAAACCAACAGACAGGACGTCCATCACACGGAGGTTTCTCCCTGAAGTCTCTGCAGCTCTCTGGACACCACACTGTCTCAATCCGTCCACACTGAATATGAGAGGGAGAAAATGAAAATAATAAATGCTTTAGACAATAAGAAATATAAAGTTGACTGTTGAGTTGCTCAGTTTTTTTAGATTGTCAATACTATTACTGTATAACTAATATCTCAGGTTAAGAGGCACCTTCAAATAAAGATTGGTCTTTAAATACATGTTGTCTTTTGAATTGTTTGTCTAAAGTCAAGGATCTAGAACTGGTACTTAGTTTTAATGATACAGTCTGGTTATTATGCTGTTTGGAGGAGGCCTCACAGGTAAGAGCACTAACTAGCTACCATCACATGTACCTTAGCTTGACTTAAATGTATTAAACGTATAGTTCAGTGATGGCAAAAATGTAAATAACTAATGTCATGTAAACATATTAATATTTGCTTGATTCCAGAGTTGAATTTAGCACAATTGCATACAAACGTTAAGGGATTTTAAGATTCTGAAGTCTTCGTTCTAAATAGAAAATAGCATGGATAATTTACAAAGGCTTTAAAAACACAACAGGAGCCCAAGACAATTATAAAACTTGTCATTATTTCAGTACAGTTTATTTTCATAAACGGTTATCAACCGTTAGTGCCAAAGCAGTAGGCTATAATATATTAATTACTGCTGTAGACTGCAACCACTACTTGTTTAGCTAGCATAAACTCAACAAAGCTCGCGTTAGCTGGCTGACTGACGTTATTTTGCCGCTAAACTGCACGATATAAAACGGTGGTCTTCAAAGCGGATTTAATCCTCAATCACAATAATAATATTCAAAGTAATACTGGGCAAGTAATGGGCAACATTTACCGTTGATTGATGCGCCATGTCAGCGGACTGGTAGCGACACGAACCGTTAGCCCCGCAGTCATCCGGTTCGACGTGACTGACTGTGGCTGTGACTGTGTGACTGACCCGAGCCTCGTTGTTCTGATAGCTCCGCCCCTTCGCTCCAACCCCCCTCCCTCCCCCCACATCTACAGTTGAAAATTACTTTTGCGACACATTTATCGCAAGAAGTGTAGCAAAAGTCAAGACCACAGATTCGTCGATTTATACTGCCACAGAGGAGATTCGTCAAGTTGTAATGACTGATTTGAGAGGTTGTAATAAATAAAGTTGCAGTTGTAATGGAAAATATATTTAAAAAATATGTATTTTTCTACAAGTGAACATTTCATCACTAAGTTCATTTTTTTTCTACAAGCTACAAAACTTTTTTTTTCTTCTGTGATTTCACATTTGGTTCACAGTTACGTGGATATTTTATACAAGTGTACATTTGGTTCACAGCAGTGGCGTAGCCAGGAATTATTGTGTGGGTGGGCCTGGAGAAATGTAGGTGGGCCAGGGGGAGACATATTAAGCGTGGGGTCTGAGCTGAAACTTCATTAATGATTTTAATGATTTTTTAATGCACTAATAGAACATAAGCATAAATTAGCAGTGAAAACAAAAAACATAGGCACGGCGGCCTCAGAATGTGTGTAAAACTGACATCCACATAGGGTACACAACGGTACTACTACTTTTATCGATAGCGCTTATGCTTATGCTCCAGGTTCAGTACCAACCACATCATAAAGTACGCGGTGGTGGGACTCATCAGGGACAACAACGAATAGGCCTACAGGGAGGAGGTGAAACATCTGACAGACTGGTGTAACACCAACAACCTGATCCTGAATGTCGATAAAACAAAAGAGATCATTGTCGACTTCAGGAACAAAAAGCACTGTCACCCACCACTCCACATCAACGGCACAACAGTGAAGACTACAGACAGCACCAAGTTCCTGGGGGTGCATATCACAAGCAGTCTGACCTGGTCCACTCACACTACATCACTATTTAAGAAGGCACAGCAGCGCCTACACTTCCTGCGCAGGTTGAGAAGAGCACAGCTCCCCTCTCCCATCCTCACCACGTTCTACAGAGGAACCATAGAGAGCGTGCTGACCAGCGGCATCTCCATCTGGTCGAGAGACTGCAACGCCAAAGACTGGAAGTCTCTGCAGAGAGTGGTTAGGACAGCAGAGAAGATCATCAGAGTTTCTCTCCCTCCCATCAGAGACACCGCTCAGAAACGCTGCCTGACAAAAGCCCAGAACATGTTTAAAGACCCCACTCATCCTCACCATGCTCTGTTCTCCCTGTTGCACTCCGGGAAGAGGTTCCGCAGCATTAAGAGCAGAACAGCCAGATTCTGCAATAGCTTTTTCCCCCAAGCCATCAGACTGCTGAACAGCAAGTAGACCAGTAACATAAAGATTACATTACGCTGTGTAAAGAGCACATATTTTTTATATAGTATGTCTATTTTATTTATATGTATAGTAAGTCTTTATATTTTAAACGCACACTTTATCTTTAATTTTATCAGCACCACGTCACTATTATTTATGTATATGTACAATTTTAGCAAGTTTGTATATTGTCCTGTTCCTGTAAGCCAGTACAATGAAATTTCGTTTTAATAGTACACTCTGTGTCTTGTTGAAATGACAATAAAGTATGTCTATGTCTTATCGATCCGGTCCTTTAACGGTACTTTTGGAGAAAAAAATAAAGTAAACTAACTAAACAAATTGTGAACAAAACTAACATTGCTTTTTATTTCAATGAAATACATAATATTTCACATCAAAAGAAACAACAATGTTTTAACAAATCGTATTAAATAATGTGATGACAGAATTGTAAACAGAATAGCTGAAACTTTAACAGACTAAATAACTCAGTTTCCTCTAATCATTAACCCATGTTTGAATAATGTAGTTAACTCCGTGTTTTGCTGCTAGCATACATAACGTACCTGACGTGGAAACGTTACTCGTGGATGGGGCTACAGAGCTGCTAGAAAGACAGTCGAACCCGGTGCATTTCTCCGTCTGAATGTGGAGCACTTTTGCTAAATGTTTAAACAAATTGCTCGTGTTACCGCCCTTACACGCTAAACGCTTATTCCACTTTTGGTAACGAGTATTGTCCACATCGACACGGCTATAGTTTAACCACACCTCGGAGCGCGTTCTCTCCGCCATCTCCTCCGTGTGTGTGTGTGTGTGTGTGTGTGTGTGTGTGTGTGTGTGTGTGTGTGTTGCTGCATGTAGCAGCTGCGTGTGTGTAAACTGCCTCGCCCCTCGCTCATTCACTCACGGCAAAAGTTACTTTACTTACTATAAAAACTCACGGTAAAAAAATGCACTCCCTATTCCATTGTCATGAAGGTGGAATCTAACTATATCCAGAATAAGTTTTATTGGATCCAGGCTAGAAACATGTTTATTTCTGCTGTAAAGTTGGGCATTTTAACATGGGGGTCTATGGGAATTGCTCCTTTTTGCATCCATCCGGCGGCCACTAGATGAACTGCAGTTTGTGGCACTTCCTTCTGGGCTTCCCGGCTCTGCGCTATGAAGCGCTGATTGGCTGTGGGTGGGCCAGACGTGCATGTGGGTGGGCCAGACGTGCATGTGGGTGGGCCCAGGCCCACCCGGGCCCACCCACAGCTACGCCACTGGTTCACAGTTACGTGGATATTTTATACAAGTGTAAATGTATGCACACAAGCTCAGATTTTTTTTCTGCAAGTGCTCACATCAGGTTTTACACACTCTCGCATTTTGCACCATATCTAACTTCATACAAAGAGTACAACTGTATATAAAATCAACTGTATCATCCAGCTTCTTGGCTTCAAAGTGTGCAACAGGGACGGTAATGCTAGAAACACTTAACTGTGCAAATAATACCAACCCCAGTGCCCTACAGGTGGAAAAACACACACTGAAGCCAAGTGCCTTACATGTAGATAACACACAGCAGAGGGAAACGAGCGAAGCTTCATATCCGTCAGTACAGCTCATAACCAAATTAAATAGCAGCTTGTAGTGTCTGCAGCTCAGCCATGATAACCACTCTTTCACAGATGCAACTAATGCAATTTAAATGAGGCAGTTATTTTTGCCACTTAATGGATGGTTTGTTTGTTCAGAAAAACATCAGAAAATAGTGAGTATTAAAATAAAATAAAACTATCTAACATTAATAAAGTCAAAGCTGACATTTTTCTTAAGTACATTTTCTTTATTATAGGATAGTGCGAATACGAATACTTCAACAGCAATGTGTTGTATTTTAGAAGTACATTGAAGGCAGCAACAAACTAAAAAACTTATTTAAACATATTTATCACAACGTTATGAGGATATTTTTTACTCAAATTAAGCAGCCCTAAACATTAGCCTACACTTTCAAATATGTAAATGTTTATTTAATATATCCCCTTTTGGTCGAATAGTTCTAAATAGCATTAAAGATTAATTCGAGCAATGTAGATGCAGCAGCCCTACAGGTGTGTTGCATCAGGTCGTGTTAAGGATGTGGGCATGTGGCACTGCATTTCCAACCCGGAGGCCTGACAAAATAACATGCTCACCTCTTAAATCAACCGGTAGATAGCATATCATACAAACAACAAATAAAAAGTGGGTTTATTTGTGATGTTGCAGCTCCTCGGTCTATTCAAACAGTAAAGCTGTTCCATATGGACACCGGAGCTTCGGTGAAAGTAGTCCGCCTCTGCACAGCTGTTCCCGATCTCACTCACCTCGCTCACCAGCCCCTGCCAGTCATTCTCGCTCCTCTTGGAAGACTGCATTATTATCCGGAATATTTTTGCAAAAAAATGTCAGGATACAGGCTGCCTGTCCGCCTCAGTCCGAGCCGCAACTCCCCCGTTTGTTTATCCGGATGCGGTGTCACTGTTTTTTGGCTCCGCTGTCAATTCGCGCGGAATGAGATGTGTGGAAAAAAGATACGACTTCCGGTACAGTGATGAAAATAAAAGTATTGTCAAAAAAAGATGCGTTTTGAGCAATGATTCTGATATGAATTCAACACGTTTCCATATGTGACACTATAAAATAAATGCTTCTGTATAATAGCTAAACTAAAGCGCTCTTTTTAGAGGAATACAATGTAAATGGAAGGTTTCCTTCACCATAAAAGCACGAAGGCTGGAGTATATGGTGGAGTAACAGTAAATCAGACAGTTAAATGAAATACTAGATGGAATACAAACTATTAAATAAATACAACTATTGAGATAATATGCTTTTTAAATCCTTTAACATTAATGAACTGAGCCTCCTTTAATATTCAAAGCACTTTGTATTATTATAGAACAAATATGTTTAAGAGCATTAAGAGGGGAGAGATCATCCCTGACTGATATACATGGCCTACCATTACCATAGAACATAATCACAAACATGATAAAACAACAATCAGATTTTTAACTCATTTATGTAGATACTCAAGTTTGCATGTACAGTTTAGGAGAAGAAGAAAGGATTCCTTGATCATCCCACCTCTGTGACAAATGTGAGATGATCTATTACATTCTGCATTTGACCAATACTAGTGTTAAGAGCAGTGGGCTGCCATATGTACGGCACCCAGGGAGCAGTGTGGGGAACAATGCCTTGCTCAGGGACACCTTGGTAGCACTTGGTCTTTCAGGGACTTGAACTGGTGACCTTCCGGTTCCCAAGCCACGTCCCTAGGGCCAGCTGTTATTTTGCACACATCAATTGTAGACAAAAGATTCAACACCACATAAATGACTTTGCTTGAATAATAATAATGATAATTCATTACATGTTTTGATTAGAGCGCTTTTCCATGTGCTCAAAGCTTTTACAATACATATTACACATATCAGACATGTAACAGTTATTACTGTGGACAATACCCACAGGAGCAAATTAGGGTCAAGTGTCTTGCCCAAGGGCACAACGGCTTGACGCAGTGGCGGCCGAGGCAGGTTTCGCACTGGTGTTCCCCAACGCCCCTTGATCTCTCTGATTATTCCCCATTCCCTTTATTGATGACCAACACATATATCACAAGCAAACTTCGCATTAGAAAAGTGTTTTCAATCTTGTATTAAAACACTACATTATAGTTAAATGTGGGCCTATTTATTCATTCCAGTAATATTTCCCCTTGAAAACACGTATGAATCCAAAATACATTCTTAAAGGTCCCATCATATGCTTTTCTGGGTATTACCCGTCCGCTTGTGTGTTATCTATAGCTTTTTGTAAACGGTCTGCAAAGTCACAAACCCTCAAAGTAAACCCTGTAGCGAGTAAAACTCTAACACAGAAAAGACGTGTCTATGCTGCCCCAGAATGCCTCGTTGTAGAATTTTCTTTTCCATTTTTTTCTTCCGGGGCCCATTGACGTAACTACTGTACGTCCAAATTGACCAATTGGCACACAGCTAAAGAACAATAGGCACACCCTCTGCCAGGGTGGACTCCCGAGCAGCTCAGGAGTCCGCCCTGCATGGCTCCCGGAGCAGACAGTGTGAGGTGGATTTCGCGCTGTGTTTCCCTGGATGCTGGATATAGACCAAGTGCCATGCCGACGAGACACCACGGAGCTCAGTGTCTCGCTGTCTCATAAACGCCACGCAGCAACCAGGAAACAACACCAGTAATCCACCTCACACTGTCCGCTCCTCGAGCCCCAGGGCGGACCAGTTCTGATTAGTCAACCACCGCTGATGTTCAGCTGTAACGGTGGTTGACTAATCAGAACAGAGTGGGTGAGCTGACCAATCAGAGCACAGTGGGCTCATAGGGACGGGGGCAGGAGCTCGAACAAGGCGTGTAGGACAGAGAGTGAATACACATACTATACAAAGATGCTGTATGAGAAAACCAATGTGATTTTGGAATATTGAACAATATAAATCTATTCTAATAGACCTCAACAATGGAATTATGATCAGTAGAAATGGCCAAGACATGGGACCTTTAAGATTGGCAACTATAGTTAAGATTTAAGTATTACTTATTGAGTAACAATAAGAATATTGTGTAATAATCTGTTAATGCAGTCACCCATTTTTCTAGACGTAATTTAGACCAAAATCAAGTTCTAAATTGAAAATCTGCGTAAACCAGCCAAGTGTTCATTTGCAGTTGGCAGAGTAAAGATGCGTGGAGATTCTTGAACAGAGAGTGGAACATCCGCTTCAGAGTTCTTCGGTGTTGATGCAACTATGGTGGTGATGCCGTATATTTGTGGCAATTCTGTTCTACACATTTCCATCAGAGGTGTCTCGTAATTCCACCCTTTGCTTTTGGCAAATATATAAACATACTCCATGAGATTAGGAAACATCATCAACAGATCCATTTCTGCTGCCTCCTTGGCACTGAAAAACAGAGAAATAAAACAGTATTACAAAAAACCTCTCTGACATTCGTTTGCAATTGGCCAGTGGTTCCTATATTTTGCCTGCGGCCGATTGAAAAGAACTGAAAGCTGAAGTGAACTGAAAAGTTACATCGGGAAAAACATTCAGATACTCTTATCATAAAGAAATACTTCCTTTATCCTGAATGTTAGAAGGCCTATTACTTGTAAAACGACCTAATCCCATCATTTTGCACTTCCTGCCCTCACACACATTAAATGAAGGTGCATTTTTTTAGGAAATGTTCTCCTAGTGTCAATTTTAAAACAATGTACATTGTATACACTGTATTCCTCCCAGCAAAAATAATAGCTAGAGTAATAAGCAGTGTTGGGCAAGTTACTTCCAAAATGTAATACAGTACATATTACTGGCTTTTTTAAGTAATAAGTTACATTACAAGTGAGTTACACTACTTTTATATTACTTTACCAAAATAACGTCAAAAAGAATGACTAGGTATTTTAATTGCTAAAATGTAGTTTAGTGCAGCTCATTATATATCCAGTGAAGGGCAATGTGGTATAGCATAACAACTGTGTAGGCCATTAAGGCTACTAACAACTTTTATTACACGGCTTAGTTGAATACTCGATTCTTAACATGTGACACATTGTTAATCCAACCACTGTCAAGGACTGTCTATAATGAAGGTTGCTAAGGAGGATCAAGAAAGAGAAAGGAAAAGAGGTTTAAAGACGGAGCGCTGGACGTCAGATAAATCACCAGAAGAAGGCAGACAGGAAGTAAACAATAACAGGAACACGGAATGGGCTCTGTAGTTTGTTTAGTATATGGCCGTGTAATAAGCGGGATAATGTGCAGCGAGGCGGTCATTATGGGGAAAAGAACACCCGACAGGCGGATCAGGGAACCCGACGCGAAGCGGAGGGATCTTGATGAGCCTGAAGGGTAAACACCAGGTTTACTAATCTACCCGCACAATTTTTCTCTGGTGTCGGAACGTCTCGCGATGTTGGTAAATTTTTAAAAAAAAAAAAACACCATTTAATTTCGGGTTAAAATTTGTTGTAACTGCGTTACTGAGAATTGTAACGGGTAGTATATTACCCAAATGTCCAGTGGCGACTGGTCATTAGGGGCAGGTGGGGCACAGCCCCACCTAGTGTCAGCAGAAAGTATTAAAAGTAATGATTACAAAAAAATGCAAAAAATAAATTAAAAAATATATAAAATATATTTTAAGATCATGTTTAATCATCTGATTCGTCTGTACATTGCTGTGTTAGTCTGTGTTCTTCTAATTAGTGTCTACAGTGTGTGCCTATTGAGCTGTTTAGAGCCGTGTGGGACAAAACCCGATCCTGCCCCTCCCTCTCCCTGTTTAAGTCAATGGTGACTGTAAAAACTACACTGCGCATGCTCAGAGTATTGTCCTATTTAATGTGTGTGGCAAAAAAATAATGACCATAGGGGCATAGTGCTGCCATCCCCACCATACGTCATCTCACATAATTCAGAGCTGATTGGCTGTAAGTACGTGTGCCGCGAAAAGTGTGGTGTGTGAAGAGGAGGAGAGAGAGCTGCAGTGAGGCGTCCTAAAACCCGGAAATAAACTGCGCATGGCTTCCCTCCACAAAAAAGCAATGATATTTCTCCATAGGATTTTAGAAAATAGCTCCAAATAAGATCTGTGGGAAACAAACCTGTTAGATAAATGCACGTTTTGTTCAGCCGGATAATATCCACATGTCTACCCTACTTTTATAATTTTCGAATCATAAATCTATTGATTAGATCAGATTTATGATAGACTTTTGAAACTACAAGAACATAAGGAGGACTTTTACAAAAAAGTAATAGAGATTTTTGTCCAGAAGGATAGGCAAATGGACTTCATCTTCATGTCAAGGTAAGACTGCAATTTTACCACCGCCATGAAAATGGGATCTTACTAAGAGAGAACAATTCAATATTTAAATGATACAATTACATTTTTTGGGTATCCTTTTGTTGAACTGTCTGTTTAAAATTAATTGAAGCATCAGACAAAAAAAGCTTTTGAAAATAATATTATATTTTGATTTAGGTCAAAATATAATATTTGTAAACCTGAAGAGTCAGAGCCTCACCAGCCATGAACCTCAGAAGCTTATATATAGACATCTAAGTTTTTTGTGCCCCACCACTTTTGTACATATAAAAACGCCACTGCAAATGTCATTAGTAATGCGTTACATTACTTCGTTACAGCAAAAAGTAATACATTAGTGTAACTCCGTTACTTTTGTAAGGCGTTACTACACCCAACACTGGTAGTAAGTAAGAACATATGATGATGAGGATAGGATTAAGGCCCCTAATGATTTATAATTCAGTTTGACTTACTGGTGATGGAGGTTTCGTATGAAGCGCAGTAATCCCAACGTGTTTTCTGGGTAGCATTTCTTCTTGCCTTCCATCTTTTCCATTAACTCTGGTGGAAACTGATGAAAAATATATAGTTAGTTAGTTAAAAGGTGGTGTTCAGTAATACAAAAAAGTGGGTTATCAAATAAAGAATAAGTGTTATGGTATGGTCACCGTATGTTTCCACCCGTTAAAGGCTCCATCCCCAGCACACTTATCCAGTGAAGAAATGAATTCCTGGTCAGCATCTTTATATCTTTCCACCTCCTTCCTGTCTCCAATCTTCTTCAAGTATTCTACTTTCCTGAAAAATAAAATGTATATTTAGGGAGAAAGCTTTGAATGTCTATTTTCGACAAAGGACAGTGTAAGGCAAGGCAAGGCAAGTTTATTTATATAGCACCTTTCAACACAAGGCAATTCAAAGTGCTTTACAAAAAATGAAAGACATTAAGAAAATGGCATTTAAAATCAGTCATTAAAAAGAATCGATAATAAAAGAAACATTAAAATAAAAAATATATGGATAAAAGTTACATTGCAGTTTAAGATGTGAATAGTTCAATTAAAAGCAGCGGCAAAAAGAAAAGTCTTCAGCCTGGATTTAAAAGTAGTCAGAGTTGCAGCGGACCTGCAGGTTTCTGGGAGTTTGTTCCAGATATTTGGAGCATAATAACTGAACGCTGCTTTACCATGTTTAGTTCTGACTCTGGGGACAGAAAGCTGACCAGTCCCTGAAGACCTGAGAGATCTGGATGGTTCATAATTTAGCAGGAGGTCAGAAATGTATTTTGGGCCTAAACCATTCAGTACTTTATAAACCAGCAGCAGTATTTTGAAATCTATTCTTTGACACACAGGAAGCCAGTGTAAAGACTTCAGAACAGGAGTGATGTGATCCATTTTCTTAGTGTTAGTGAGGATTCGAGCAGCGGCGTTCTGAATCAGCTGCAGCTTTCTAATAGATGTTTTAGTGAGACCTGTAAAGACACCATTGCAGTAGTCCAGTGACAGTCTGAAGATAAAAGCATGGACAAGTTTTTCCAAATCCTGCTGTGACATTAGTCTTTTAATGTGTAGATACAGACTGTTAGTTCGAGAGAGAGAGAGAGAGAGAGAGAGAGAGAGAGAGAGAGAGCGAGAGAGAGAGCGAGTGAGAGAGAGAGCGAGAGAGAGAGAGAGAGAGAGAGAGAGAGAGAGAGAGAGAGAGAGAGAGAGAGAGAGAGAGAGAGAGAGATTAGTACTTGGCATGACTGTAATCATTTGGCTAACACTTTACTCCTAGAGCTACAGCTTTGACAAAATAAAAGCAACTCAAACCTTTTTGTAATACTGTCTTATTTAAAAAAAGACATTCTACACACTTGGGGAATATGTCAATAACAGCAGTTGATGACAAAATCAGACATGACTTTAAGGAAAATCGTATTATTTAAATGTTTTAATGTATTGTTTGATTTTGACTAATCATGCTAGCTGCTCTTTGGGTGGTTAGGCAGTTAGTCGGCCAGTCCACCATCTTGGTTCAGACTGAAATAGCTCATCATTGGATGGATTGCTATAAAAGTAAGTACAGAAATGATTGATGAACATTTACTTTTCTCTAGTGCCATCATTAATTTAAATGTTGAATTGGTTCTATACTAGGTTTCTGAGAGAAAACCATGTAATTTGTAAGAAGTGGACGTAGTCACCAAGACATAGCATGTATGCCGATTAGAACAGACTCACTTGAAGAAGTTCTTAACAGGGGCGGCGGGTACTGTAGGCTAGGGAAGGCTAAGCCTTCCCAAATATTTTTGTCACTGCATCCTGGTAAAATAAAAATATATAATGTAGCCTATAATGTTTGTGTCTTTGACATTAGCGCTGCTACGCAGCCACCTGTGCCCTGTACTACGAAGCCAGTTCAACATAGCCTACCCTGGATATGTTTGAGTTATCTTAACTAACCCTAACAAATGAGATCTCGCTAAGCGGTCCTACGACGCTGGTTATCAACTCGGTAAATCAAGCCAGGGTTTCTCTCTCCAGCTGAAAGCGTTCATGTGAAAGGGGCGGGGTTAGCAACATTTGATCAATCACAAACAGGGACAAGTCAGAGCCGTATCTGGGACAAGTGTACTGACAGCGCAGCGTCATACTTCATTAATGAAAAGTAAACTATTATTAGACAAATATGAACTTTAAACATCCATGACTTAAACATATAATCCAGGATACAAGCAAGGTGAATATAACTGGTTAAAAAATAAATAAACTACCGAGTGTTTGAAAGCGTACAACAGTTTTATGATATCACTGCCCCATCTAGACACGAGTGGTTCTGACTTTAATTACATTTGAGTTGAGTGTTTCGTCAACCTAATGTGTTGCTTAAAATAATACTTATGCATACAGTAGCCTATGTGACAATGTAAGTGTTGCACGGCCAGATACGGCTCGAGAAGCTGACTCAGATAAGGAAATATATGATATATGATATTATATGATCGATGATGTGATTGATAATGTGATATGAATGATATGTGCGACACGTCGGTGTCTTCCCTGCATACGGCAGTTTAAACTGTATTTCCTTTATCCTGTAATATGACTTGATAGATTTAAACTCCGCACACTAAGCTCTGATCAGCAGGCGGTGCTTTCACTGAGTTGATCTCTTTTCTATAGACGCCGGAGGCGGGCAGCGTCAGGTAAAAAAAAGTTATTTAGCCTTCCCAAACCTGAGCCTCACGCGCCGCCTATGGTTCTTAAGTCTTTTTAACGCTATGCAATAAAACAAACAAATAATAGAAAATCTGTTTATTTAATCAATTGTTCATGATACATGGGATTGTACCTGTAAGGGTTCCAGAAGAAGGCATGATTCAAGCATTCTTCCACTTTAGGTCTTTTCTCTGGTTCTGCATCAATCATCCACTTAATGAGGTCTTTTGCCAACACGTCTTGAACATGCTCCAAAGCGTAGATCCCTTTAACAATGTTGTATTCAAATTCAAAGGATTCTTCTCCAAAAGGATGGTGTCCTCGGGAGAGGATATAATAAATCAGCATCCCTGCCACCTTAAGAATAAACATAACATTGAAGCAATTCAGAAAGTGTATGTACACACGGTTATCAATAACATTAGTTTATCAGAAAAACTGACCTGTATGTCAGAGCTTGACTTGTACGGTATCTTGGTTTCGTCTTTTTCTGATAAAGTTTCCTTGGCCATCCAACATCTTGTTCCGTCTTTTCCTGTGCGGTAAGTTGTTTGGTCTTTGGGTAACCGTCTACTGATGCCAAAATCAGCCAGTCGTGCCCTCCCGTTAACATCTGAAAGACAAAACAGGTAGACAAACTCATCAATACAATTATGTTTGATAATGTTTCACATTTTCCCCCCCATAATTTAATTGTACTGTAAACGTATCTTACCGATCAGAACATTCTGTGGTTTGAGGTCCCGGTGGAGAATGGGACGATCCTGACAATGAAGAACCCTTAAACCCTTGAGAACCTGAAAGACAACTGTCTTTCTCTGCCCATCATCGCCATGAGTTTTAATGTATTCTTCCAAGGTGCATTCACAAAGTTGAAGACCAAGATATCCAAAGTTTTCATCCTCTGCAAAGGCCATGTATCTCACAATGGATGAATAATCAAGCTCTGGAAGTCGTAGAAATCCTTCCTCATTCTTCAGCACTTCATAGTTGCATCTGGTCATTTTCTTAATAGCAATTTCAGTGCCATCATCTCTCAGCCCCAAAAACACTTCAGTACCATTTTTTCCCATTGCTATGCGGAATTCATCTTTATTCACGTACTTCATGCTCCCATTCCCAATTATGGTTAAGGTTAGTTTCCCTTCCTTTACACTGCTGACAAGCTCCTGATACGTTTCTTTCCACTTAAGGCTGTTTGGCAACCATTTGGGTTTGTAATCTGTAGTTTGAGTGGATTCACCATGAGGACCTGCTGTGTGCTCTTTTAGACGTCCTTGCGTGTCAGCCTTGTTCTCAGATCTGGCAAAAGCTAAACCATTTCCACATTCCAGGGTTAGTTTGTTGAAATGATCAGTCAATCGTCTGAGCACTTCTTCCGGATCTTTAAGAATTCTCATCTCTAAGATTTTACCAGCATGTTCAACTGAAAGTACATTTGTATATATGTTATAAATTAAGGCTCGAATGTCATCAGAGTAGTCTTGAGACACAAAAAGAGCAATCGTCTTGCAAACCTCCACATTCAATTTGGGATCCCAGCCTGTGGTGCTTTTTGTTGTCCGTGTTATCATAAATAATTCTTTCAGAATGCCTTTACGGTCAAATTGCTCTTGTGAAAGCTGTCCCAGTAGTAGGGTGATTTTAGCAGAAGCTTGCTCCATTTGTAACTGTGGGATGATATTAACTTCTTCTTCTTCTTTGCTCTGTGGGAAGACAAAAACAGGTATCAAATTGTGAAACATGAAATCCAATGTAATGTAATGTTACACTTGGTCATTAGCAAGCATATTTGATGTTCTTTAAATATATTAAACATGAACTATTTATGTTTTAAAGGAGTAATAAAGATGAACTCGGTTGGTGGCTAGATATAGTCCACGTTTTAGCTCTTGACAGATTTTTCAATATTGGTGTATACTGTACGTATAATCAACAGGAATAGAAAAGTCTAAAGAGTTTAAAACTCGGGAAACTCTTGTAATAAAGACCAACTTATTGTTATCGACCAAAGGGCCTGGCTTGTGGTCTTCATTAGGGTTATTAAGAAACACATACAATGAACGTTTCAAGAAGAAATGAAGCAAATAATTACAAGGTTAAAGACATCCAGTAAAAACCATACACATATTTGAGAATTAGATGTGGTTGGTATGTGATCATGTGACTTCAGGTAAATTACATTTCAAAACAGGCAGAATAAATGGGTGCGCCTAATAATACAACTGATGTAACAATACCTGTGTTATGACACATCTCATCTTTATTTCTATACCTATTAAAGTGAAGCCAAAGAGACGGTCATGTACATTTTGTCAGGTAAAAGAGAATATTTTTTAAATTTCAAATACGAAGAGTTAATAGGCAGAAACAAAGTTAGTCACGGTTTGATATCCCTGCCAGTACAACTGATTTAGGAATATGTGATTAGGAATATCAAAAATGCTGAAAACACTACAGTCCTTGTCCAAATCCTCATATTGATCAAGGGGAATAAAACGTTGACCAAGGCTGATGCAATCTCATCTTAAACCGATCCAGTTATAAATCTGCTGACATGATCGTGTCTTCAGGTTATAACCACATGCACGCACATTTTATGTTTCCTGTAACACAATACAAACTAAAACAAAAGATTGAGTCCAAAAAGCATTACATATTACTTATTTGATCTTTTTTTTAGATCATAGCCATTGTTCCTAGTCACTCATTCTGGTTTGCAACTATTGCCTAACTTTCTGTATACTCAGAGCTCTACTCAGACTTTAGGGAGAGTACAAAGAACACTAGAAAAAACTACTCACAAAGTTTATGTATGATGTCTTCTTTGAGTCTTTAAAATGATTGATCTCTCCAAACTTAACTGCGCTCAATCTCTTTTGCCGTTTGAAATGAGGAAGTCCTGAGCACAACAGTCCCTCCCCGATTTCCTTTTTTCTCCTTCCTGCTCCTCCAGTCACGTGCACCAACATATTTTTGCCCGGGTATGTTTAAAATGATTGATGTCATTACATTGCATTTGCAATACAAGTTGACATTCCACCTTAACATAATGTAGAGTAGAGCAGGTCATTCTGGCAAAAAGGCAATCAACTACATATTTGTTAGAAGCACAACAGGGTTTAAGTTGAATGGAAACCATGTGTGTGTGATAAGAGGGTTGGTAGGTGTCGGGTTACATGGAATTTGTACTTACAGTGCATCCGGAAAGTATTCATACCCCTTCACTTTTTCCACATTTTGTTATGTTACAGCCATATTTCAAAATGTATTTAATTCATTTGTTTTCTAAACATTCTAGACACAATAGCCCATAATGACAAAGTATGTTAGCTTGAGTATGATGCTACAAACTTGGCACATTGGGCAGTTTCTCCCATTCTTCTTTGCAGATAATCTCAAGCTCCATCAGGTTGGATGGGGAGCTTCGGTGCACAGCCAATTTCAGATCTCTCCAGAGATGTTCAATCGGGGTCAAGTCTGGGCTCTGGCTGGGCCACTCAAGGACATTCACAGACTTGTCCCGAAGCCACTTATTTGTTATCTTGGCTGTGTGCTTAGGGTCGTTGTCCTGTTGAAAGGTGAACCTTCGCCCAAGTCTGAGGTCCAGAGCGCTCTGGAGCAGGTTTTCATCAAGGATCTCTCTGTATATTGCTGTATTCATCTTTCCCTTGATCCTGACTAGTCTCCAAGTTCCTGCCGCTGAAAGACACAGCATGATGCTGCCACCACCATGCTTCACTGGTATTGGCCAGGTGATGAGCGGTGCCTGGGTTCAACCAGACATGATGCTTGGCATTCAGGCCAAAGAGATACATTTTGGTTTTATCAGACCAGAACATTAGTTTTTGTCATGGTCTGAGAGTCCTCTAGGTGCTCCATGTGGGCTTTCATGTTCCTTTTACTGAGGAGTGGCTCCCTTTTGGCCACTCTACCATAAAGGCCTGATTGGTGGAGTGCTGGAAGGTTCTCCCATCTCCACAGAGGAACACTGGAGCTCTATCAGAGTGACCATCGGGTTCTTGGTCACCTCTCTGACTAAGGCCCTTCTCCCCCGATGTTCAGTTTGGTTTGGGTGGCCAGCTTTAGGAAGAGCCGTGGTGGTTTCAAACATCTTCCATTTGCAAATAATGAAGAGCACTGTGCTCGTTGGGACATTCAATGTTTCAGACATTTTGCTGTACCCTTCCCCAGATATGTGCCTTGATACAATCCTGTCTCTGATGTCTACAGACAATTCCTTGGACCTCATGACTTGGTTTGTGCTCTGATGTGCACTGTCAACATGTGGGACCTCATATAGACAGGTATGTTCCTTTCCAAGTCATGTCCAATTTAATTTACCACAGGTGGACTCCAATCAAGTTATAGCAAAGGGTGTGAATACTCATGTACATGTGATATTTCATTTGATTATTTTTAAGAAGTTTGCAAAAAATTCTTTAAAAACGTTTTCACTGTCATTATGGGGTAGTATGTGTGGAATATTGAGAAACAACATGAATTTAATCCATTTTTAAATAAGGCTGTAGCATAACAAAATGTGAGAAAAGTTAAGGGGTATGAATACTTGCCGGATGCACTGTATGCTTTATGTTTAGACATGTTCATGACGAAACAGGTTAGGTTTTAAACTCACTGCCACTTGTCTTATTTACTACATATTATGGGGGTGAAACTGAGCTGCAGGCTTAACATCAGCATACAGCATTCACACTAATAAGTATGTTGAATACTGTGTGTGGCTTCAATGCATGGACTGTTCTTGGCTGATTTTAGAGTATTACAATTACAGATCATAATAATGAAGTACTTTACTTAACGTTATTAGGGAACTTGTACTTAAAAATAGTATTTATGATATTTCTTACTTAGATTCAGATACCTTTACTTTTAATTCGATGATTTTAGTTCAGACTCAGGTATCATTGAACGTTATGGCAAGAAAATGCATCGATGCATGCAATATATAGTAATTTGAAAATGTTTTATAAGGAATATGTTGCCCTCTTTTGGTTTTCTTACATTTGACCTGTTACTAACTCTGCCTTTTATTGTAGAAAGACCTACAATCCATTTAGAATGAAAGTTCAAGGTGAATCCCAAATACATAAACCATAAAACCGATAGGATTTATCATACCAGAGCAATCATCCTCCCCCTAAACAAAATAAAGGGTAACAGGAATTCATAGTATTATAATTACAGATCACAATACTGAAATACTTTAATTAACGTTATTAGGGAACTTATTCTTGATACTAGTATTTATGCTATTTCTTACTTCTAATTCAGATACCTGTACTTTTAATTGGAATAGATGAGAGTAACACCTCTCAAAGATTGGCGCCAGCAGTGTGCACAGCGAGACGTCTCCCAGGCCTGTTCAGCCTTTTATTAGTTCTAGTAGTTTTATTGTTTTGTGTTTTTTGTCAAAATGTCTCTGCTCTACTAGTTTACGACCGCCAGTCGCTTATGGAAATCAAAGCGTTTCAGGAGGGGGTATTGTTATGTATGTGTCACATCAGGTGTGACTGTGCCTTTAAGATGGCACCGGGAGTTTGGGGATGTGTGAACCGGACACAGTTAGTTGTGGTTGTGTTGTCATGGCAGTGTGTGGAATAACCGGAATAACGTGTACAATAAACGGTCAACCTAAATGTCGTAGTCCGTAGTCCATAGTCCAATATATACAACATTGGCGACGAGGATTATGGATTATCTACTCTCACCCCGTTCCTCGCACTGCCGGGCGAACCGCCGATTCAGTGGGTTCGCTGGTTTGAGTCCTTCGAAACGTTCATAGTAGCCGCGGGGCTAGCTGAAGCTAACGACGACAGGAGGAAAGCCCTGCTGATACACTCACTGGGCAGCGAGGGACAGCAGATTTTTCGGACTCTCTGACTCCGAAATATGCGGACTGTGTTACACTGCTCACTTGACACTTTGCTGCTCCACAAAATGTTATGCTCCGGCGGATTGTTTTTCGGCAACGCCGGGTGAGTCCGTCCACCATTACGTGGCTGATCTGAGGGGACTAGCCAGCCCAGACCCGGCGCCAGAACAAATCTAAAGGGAGGGCATATAATTTTCATGGGAGGGCACACAAAACCGTCACGTGCTGCGGGCCTGCGGCACAATATATATCAAACAGCAAGGCCAACAGCAGTGCGCAAAGACGCACACTTATCGCAAACATACACAAATAAAGGGCAACATAGCAACCACTTTGAAACATTGTGTGCGTGGCAGCACAGACACTGGTAAATCACGAGCAAGGCACACTGGTTACGGATGGCAGCTTCCTCATCGCTGCACTCGGAGAGAAATAGTAGAGACGGAGACGATGAACTGTTTAGCCCGCCTTGGGCATGGTTCATTTGCCTATGCAATGCACTCGGACATGCTGTGGACTATCGAGTCACCTCTGAGAGGGAGTTGGTTGACAGCTAAAAAAGCAATAATATCAACGACAGCTGACACGTAATAACGGCTCCGTGCCAGCTGATCTGCACCAAAGTACTCATTTCCTTATTTGTTTCCTCACGTATCTCTCTCTCCACACACTCTCACATGAAATGTGTTCTTTTGATGCTTTTTGAGTCTGTAATGCGTGTTTCCAGTCGCAAAAACCTTTGACAGTAAAAGCCGCATCAGATGAAGACGTATTGACTTTAAACTGTCTACAGGGGAAACAAAAGGCTGCGTCTGCTTTTAACGAATATTCAAGCCATGGTCTGTTGTGTACCATGCAGCGGCAAAAGTGCGCTTCTTTCCTGAAAACAATCTCCCTGGATAACGATCCAGTTTCACCTGCTTGGGTTTATTAACCCCAAGATCATCGCTAACTCATCCCCGGGGTTTGCCGAGGTCAAGCTTGTGACATTAAGGCGTGCTGCTGCAACTGCAGGTGCACCATGTTAGCAGGCCTGCCTGACTGCTGCAACCATGGCAGTATCCACCATTGAGGTCACCGAGGTCCGGACCTCGGTAATTTTTTTCGAGCTGGGTATATAACTAAACTTGTGAAATAATTGCACTAAACGGGGTTATTTGTAGTACTTCCATTTACTGACGATGGGGGCGCTGCATAAGTATGTAGCCTCGGTTAAAGCAAACAGAAGAAGATTACATGTATCAACAAACCACCGCAGCTCGGACTTGTACCGGATCAGCGAAGGAGTGATGAGGTATCTAGACTAGAGATCTGATTCCAGCGGGCTGCTTGTGTTTCTGTTCATCAGGACATCATATGAGCAGCAGATCCTGTGTGAACGCTCTACGTTAGTCAGTGGACGTCCGACAACATGCACACTAACTTATTTTGCAGCTTTAGGCTATACTTTGGTTTAAATTGCGTGAATAAACTAGCTAGAGAGCTAAAGTTAATTACATTCATCCAATGTCAGAAGGATTACCTTTTAACAAACGTTGTAATGCTTTTCTTTCATTTCAATTTGAGTAAAACATTGGAGATATAACATTGTATTGTTTTATTTTTACACTGACTCAGATATAATGAAAAGACTACGTCAGTCGAAGCTCAGCGTTGGTAAGGAAGAGATAGGACAGGCAGAGAGAAATAGAGAGAAAATGATGGAAGTCAGGGAGGAACTGCAGGTACAGTCACACAAAAAGAATGTAGGCTTAATAACCCTATCTATCCATCTATATATCTATACATCCATGGCCGCCCCTCCCTACAGGCCAATCACGCAGGCTGCAGGGGGCCCCGCCCAGAGGGCCTCAGCTGCTGTGCGCAGTTCTCCGCTCAGTTCTCCGCACACACCCCGCGAGAGTGAGAGTGAGAGGTGACAAGGGGAGCACGTCTGTAACCCGACACTGTTGCAATGAATCAACATCTGACCAATCACGGCTTTGATACAGCCACTAGTGCAG